TCATGAATATTCTAACAAATGTTAATGTTTTACCAATAGAAGATATTATTTGCAGCTCAGGTTTAATGATGGAGTCAACAACACCCTAACTGAGGAACTACCAAGAACACTTCCATCAATACTGGTATACAAACCAAGAGTGCACCCCACTCCCTTCTAGCACTGATGATGTTATCTAGTTGGGTAATAAAATGTCTGCAAGGAAACAGCCCAGCTTGGAGAACACCAATGTTTCACATCCAAGGTCATGCTCTATGAATGAGTGACCCAAAACAAAGTAGGTGTTGTGGTCCAGCAGGAGCCGTTAGAGCTGCAAACAGACTCCCATAGTGAGGGACCCTATGAGTCGGCTCTGGAAGATGTGGAGGACCCTGGACAGGGTTCAGACTCCAAGCAGGGACCAGGGAGGCTGGTTGGCCACCAGGAGGCACCTGATGCATGGACAGCGGTGAAAGCCAAAAGGAGTGTGTCCCTGACATCAGGCCCTGGAGCAGTGGTGAAGACGTCAGGCCCTTGAGCAGTGATGAGGTGCAGAGGGAATTAGTCCCAGCTAAGCGCCAGCAGCAATTACGGAGACAAAGGAAATAATTGGACCCAGGTGGTTGTGATTAGGCTCCTCCCAAGAAAGTATATAAGAAGAGAATTTGGGAGGAGGCTGTTTGCAGGATTCAACTATTATACTAAAGCTGGAGAAGCTCTGGTGTGTATTTCTTATCTGTGGACGTCTGGGTTGCTGCCAAAGTCTTGTCGGTGTGTTAATTTACTGTGAATAAATTGTGTAGCAGTAATCTTGTGTCGGCATGGGGGGTCAGAACAGTAGGCTGATTAGATTTTGCTCGTTTTTCAAAACCTGAAATCAAATGCATCCTCTTTGAAATTGGAGGGCTCCAATTTGATAGGCAAGGAATGTAAAAGAAAGCTTAGAAGCTTGTTATTATATATAATAAATAATTTTATCATATTTTATCTATATCTTAAATTATTGTATTCTATTCCAATTTCATTTTAAATCATATTTTATCAAATTCCATTTTATATTGCTTTTATCAAATTTTAGAAATAATTTGTTTCTGGAACTTTGCACTTTGATCTGGCCCACGGGCTAATCAATAAAGACTCGATGTATGCTGACAATGGCAAGAATTGTACCGTGTTTTCCTGAAAATAAGACAGGGCCTTATTTGACCCCCAAAATAAGCGCTTGACCTTATTTTCAGGGAGGTCTTTTTTTCGGGGAGGTCTTATTTTTTGGGAGGGCTTATTTGAGCACATGCACTCAAAGGCCCGATTGGGCTTATTATCCAGTGAGGTCTTATTTTCAGGGAAACAGGATATATTCACAAGATGGAAAGAACCATTAATTCCCACAATGGAAGAGTAGATGACAAAAATTTTAGTGAGCTGGTGGAGATGAGAAAACTAATTAACTTTTCACTAAAGAGAGGAATTTATCTAGTTTGGTTTCTACTTGGAAACCACTTCTGGACTTTTCACTCAAAACAGAAAAAACATGAAATGTCAATTTTAGTTTTGGATGATTTTTGTTATTATGGAAATGGTTTGAAATATTGCAAAATGCAGTGCAAAAGATGGAGGTTGTAATTTTGGTGTTTTACTGCAGTGAAAATAGTCAGAAATGACCACTTTTTTCTCTCCAATTGCACTTTTTATTTTTCTGACTTTTCTAACTTTGGGGTTTTTTTTTACCTGTATTTTTTTATTTTATAATGAAACTCAATAAAAGAATTATATATAAAAGAAATAGGAGGGTTCCTTAAGCCCTTTTAACCCCGTCTAAATTTATTTAAAGGCACCACAGTGCATGAAATTGCCTGGAAGTATCTCTCCAGCAGCTACATAAATTCATCTTTCAGCTTTAAAATGCTATTAAATTTGAGGCTGTTAATATATTTCCCCCCCCCCACACCCCATTTCTGCATTAAAAACCGCACTGGCTCTGCCCACATCAAGCCCACTTCTAACTACCCTGTTGGTGCCAATGAAGCCATTTTGTGTCACAATTCATCAAAACTAAGCTTCCCAAGTGCCAATATATGAATTAAAGAGGGCATCACAGGTGAGGCCCCATTAATGGTTTGCCAATTCCAAATTGCTGGCTAGAGTTAATGATGACAGTGGCTGTTGTGCTTAAAAACTTAATTTAATTAACATGAGTTGGAACAGGACATTAAACGCTTATGACTTAAATTAAAACACAGCTCAGCATCACCCCTTCAGCTGACTGCTTCTTCCTTGGCATCTTCGATCTATTTGGTGACAATATTTTCAGTCTTCAGGGGTTTTTATTACTTCAAAAATATCCTGAGCCCGTAGAAGGATGCATAATAAAACACACTTTATTTCTTAGCAAACAGAAGTGGAATATACCTTCTAAGCTTATAACAGTATAGACTAGAGCAGGGGTGTCAAATTCGGGTGGGATGAACTGAAGACTGGGAGACAAGGAGAAAGAGATTGGGCAACCATTTGATCAAGATAAGCTAAGGTCTTCTGTTTTGAGCAGGGGGTTGGACTAGAAAACCTCTGAGGTCCTTGCAGCTCTATGACTCTATATTCTATGTNTGGCCCCCTCTCTGCCTCCGACACAGAGCCCTCATCTGAGCCTTCCCCAGACTCCAGGACTGGCCCATGTTCCTCCCCAACCTCCTCACTGTCCAGATCTGTGGACCACAATAACAGGGGCAGAGCGAGAATCTCTGCCTCGAGATGAATCACAGTCCTGGGCGGAGCTGCCGAGACGAGGCCCTTACCTTGGCTTTCTTCTTGATGTGCTTCAGCAACGGCTGCACCGAGTGGGGCCCGGGCTGCGACAAGGTGCCAAAGGAGTACTTCTTCCAGGGAGGCCGGTGGAATTGCCGCAGCTTCATGGGGCCCATGTGGGTGGGGAAGAAGGGCTGGCGCAGCTCCACTGCAGGAATCGAATGCTGCGAACCAGACCAGAGAGAGAGGCGCGATTTCGGCATGTCCCGAACAACAGCTGGGCCCCCCCGTTTAACACCCTCAGCTAAGGGAAGGCTCCCCGCTCCGCACGGGGAGGGGGGACGAAGCTGCTCTGGCTGCCTCAGGTTCTGCAAGCCAATCTTGCGGGCACGTTAGGGAAGCGGAGTCCCTGGTGCCCGCAGGTGAAGCCTTGGCAGAAAGCTAGGCTTGTATTGGGCCCAAGAAGAAGGCGCTTTGGTACAACCAGGCAAATAACTGGACTGCATAACCTATGGTGCAAAGCCAGGGTTTCCCACCTGGATAATGTTGCCGCCAAAGGTGCCACGGAGGCCCTGCTGCTTGGGGTAGTAGAACTCATCATTGGAGAGATTCCAGGGATCCTTCACTTCCGGCTGAGACATATTCTGCAGTGGAAACACAGGGGCAAAAATAAATCTCTCTCTCTCCCCACCAGAATTTCCTCCCCTGCTCTATTTCTTCTCCAGTCCAGAGGAAACGGAGCCCCTCTCCAACCTGCTGGGGCTCTTCCTTAATCACTCCCGTTTTGCCCAAGAGGATCCGGCTTTTCTTCAAAGAAGACTCTTTCTTGTTCTCCTTGGAAGGGGAATTGAGAGTCATCTCTTCCTTTTCATCGGGGATTTCTAGGAGGAGAAAACAGGGAGAAAACGGGACCTGAAAGACTCTTCCCAATTTATTTATTTATTAAATTTATTTATTTATTAAATTTATTTATTTATTAAATTTATTTATTTTTTATTAAATTTATTTATTTATTAAATTTATTTATTAAATTTATTTATTAAATTTTTTATTAAATTTATTTATTTATTAAAGTTATTTGTTTATTAAATTTATTTTTTATTAAATTTATTTATTTTTTATTAAATTTATTTATTTATTAAATTTATTTATTAATTATTAAATTTATTTATTTTTT